TATAGTATATGCGGCGGTCGAGTCTTTCCGTCGCATACTCTATGAATATAGCCCATTGCGGACTACCGCCGCATATATGCGTTCTGCGTAAATCATCAAATTGGCCGAAGTACTCATACTTGCGTTTGGCGAAAACAGTTGATTGAGCCGAGAAACGCGTACATGTGTTCATGCACGTAAATCTGTGCGTGTACATATAATATGTCCAGAATATGACTTGGAATGCTATGAACGAAAACCGCGTTTAGGCAGAAATATACGCCGGCAATTTTTAATGACTATCGCGGCAGGAGCTCGGCCCCACGGTTCACTTCGAATCGTCCTGTCCGCAAAGGGCTAGATAGACCATAGTTACATTCTATACGCACTAACACCTACTTCGCGGCGTGCTGTCGAATTATATGTATAGAAAAAAAAATAGCTATACAAGCTTTGCCTATGTTCGGCTGTCCAAAGGTTGACATGTTCAAAAAAATCTTTTAATTTTGCGCCGCCTCCGAAAAGGTTGAAATGTATTTAATATACTACCTAACGAGTAAATAGGTTCAATTCATATCTGTGACGTAATTGTATGATTCAGAGAAATAGAAATTACTTCATTAGGAAATGGAAATTATTTTATACATTTTAGTGCATTTCGAAGTCGGTGTATTTTTTTTCCGAAAATTATTTTATTTGCATTCCATGGTTTCTCTAAAACCATATGCGCAATAATCATATTTTCTTCAAACACATATTAGATCCATTTATTCTGACGCGGGAAAACAGTACTAAAACTTTGAAACAATTTTGCTTATATTTTTAAAACATATAGATATATTGAAAAAAGCCTACATTTAATAAAAATATTCTTTTACTGTGAAAATACAAAACTAAATGGCCCGTTTATTTTTAACCACTTGCGGTGTAAAAAAATTCTCGGTTGCGCGTGCCAGAACAGTCGAGCAGAAATCACTTCGCGGCGCGTTCAGGCAGCGTTCGGCAGGTGGGTTCGAGAAGAGAATATAAAGAGGCAGAAGGATAAAATTACATGTGTATCAATACTGATAACTTTACACGATGAAGAGCAAGCAGAAACTGTGCTTCGGTAAAGAATTTCATTCAACAGTGGACGTGCCATGCACGTCATTTATTTTTCTGTAACAATCGCCCGACGACGTGCGTAACACGTCGCTGGCGTTCCGGTAACAAAAGCATCTCGAAATGCATAGCACGTCTTTCCACCGCAAGTGGTTAAGGGATTACAACGGATGTCCCTATAATGTCATTAAACTCAATGAAATATAGAAATTATTGATTAGATTATTAATCAATATGTCCTTAGAAAGGAATCAAAAGGGAAGCAACGCATGGAGAGGAAATGAGTAAAGAAAGAAAGTAGCACCCATTCTTTTGTAATCTCTTCCATCGCCGTAGAAACAACTGCTGCATGACTACTGGAATGCGGCAATCGTTTCCTTTGTCGTGCTTCCGTTTTATACGAGTAGCTGACTCTACTTGGACTGCATCACTATGGAATCGGGAATAACCGAGTTTAATGTCACGTAACTCACCGTAATAGCGTTAGCAATATCATCCAGAGTTTTTCAACCGATTCCAATCGCGTTTTTCAACCACGTTTATTACTGTTATCGTCGTCCAGTGTCCCGTCGTGAGTGTGTAAATCGTTTTATTAAATAATTGTATGAACGTTTCAACTTGTAGTGTTTTTCTTTATTTTAAAGTATTAAAGTATTGATTTATCAATATATATATACATAATAAAGTTAAAGGAGGCATGTTAAGTTCTTTGAGGTGCTTCCTTTATAAATTTATCAACAGTTAATTGAATGCCACCCATTTTTTTCTTTTCTTCATAAAGATTTCTATAACATGCTATGTCTTTCTCAATTGCCCTACGTACTTGAGATATACGTTCTCCATTGGGATCACATTCTTCCATGATACTCAAAAATTTATCAAGATGCGTGAAGGCTTCGTTCATATTTTTAATTTTCAAAGTCTTAACATTTTTATCAGCTTCCTCTTCCTCACTTTCATCGTGTATTTCAGTGCTACTCAATTGTTGCTCAATTAAATATTCATTTGAGAGCGGTGCTGAGTGTGACTCAATCAATTCATCAACATCGTCTTTATTGACGTCCAACTGTAGTTGATTCATTAAAGTAACTATTTCATTTGTTAAAGTTTCTGGTTTTTCTTCAAAATTTGTGAAATCATTCATCATTTGTGGGCATAATTGTTTCCATGAACCTTTCATTGTCGACTCTTTAATTTCAGCCCACGAGTCTCCAATATTATTTATTGCGTTCCATATATTATAATTCTTCCAAATCTCTGTTAATGTTGGTCCATGTTGCCTGTCAGTTGTCTTGATGGCCTTAGTCATTATTGTCCTCATATAATATCGTTTAAACGTCGCTATCACTGTTTGGTCCATGGGTTGTATGAGGCAGGTAGTATTGGGAGGAAGAAACACAACATTGATTTCTGGGTATAAATTCTGCAGAGATTTTGGGTGTCCTAGAGCATTGTCTAAGATTAATAATGTTTTAAATTGTAAATTATTATTTTCGCAATATTGTTTAACTGTCGGCACGAAATGCTGAGTGATCCAATCTTTAAATATTAACGTAGTAATCCAGGCATTTTTATTTGATTTCCAAATGACCGGAAGCAATTCTTTATTTTTCCCTTTCAATGCTCTGGGATTTTCTGCTTGGTAAACTAACAATGGCTTCAATTTTAAATCACCAGCTAAGTTTCCACCAAGAAGTAATGTCAATCGGTTTTTGGAAGGCTTATGTCCAGGAGCAACTGATTCTCCCTTCGATAAAAATGTGCGATTAGGCATCTTTTTCCAAAACAAACCTGTCTCATCTACATTGAATATTTGACTACGAGAATATTCTCCATCTTCAATAATTTTGGATAATAAGGAAATAAATTCTTTCGCAGCATTTTTATCTGCATCGGCCGATTCTCCAGTGAATTTAATATTATGTAACGAATATCTCACTTTAAATTTTTCAAACCAGCCATTACTTGCTTGAAATACCGTGTTCGAATTTTCATTTCATCTAATCTTCCAATCTTCATGCAAACTAAGAGCCTTAGCTTGAATAATTGAAAAACTCAGAGGAACATTATTTTGATGTTGATCATCAATCCATGATGACAAAGATCTTTCCATTTCATCCATCACTATGCCGTGTCTTTTGGAAATAATCTTTGAAGATATATTTCCACAATTTTTAACGTATTCCGTAATTTTACTCTTGTCTTTCAAAATTGAACGTATCGTAGATCTATTTACACCGTATAAACGTCCGATTGAAGCAAAAGATTCACCGTTTTCAGAACGTTTAATTATTTCCATCTTTGTCTCAATCGTATGAAGTTTATGAGTCCTTAATTTCTTTTTATTCATATCAACACTGCAGTTTTTCCATTTCTGACTCATGTTTATCAATTTATAAGCGCGAAATATTTAAATTTAAACAAATAAATGTAGGATAAGAATGAAATTAGACACGATTGTGTTAAAAAGGAAAAGATTTAATAAAAGAATGTAGTATATAACGTAATAAGGAGTATCCGCGGGATTACCGAACGAGAGCCGATGCTACGCGATCTTTTTATGACGCCGTCGTGGTACGCAATCTACGCTTTTCGCGCGAAGAAACAAACAAATGCCGATCGCGGTTCTCATGGTAACATGCGTGCACGCAGAACGCGCGCAGCCAAACGTACATCGGTAACGCTGCACACTGGGTGTCCAAATAATTCGGCACCACAATATTTACAAATCTCACAGATTTAGTTCATAAATTTTGTACTTTTCAAATTTAAAAATTTTCAAGCCCCTAAATTTACAAATTTCTACATTTTTGAAGTTTCGAATGTCTAAATCTCAAATTTCTATACTGTCAATGCATCAAATTTTCAATTGTTCGAAGTTTAGATTTCCTAAATTTTTTCTGAATCCATGAATTTCCAAATTTCTAAATTTCTGAAAGTTTAAAGGTCTAAATTTCCAAATTTCTAAAATTACTAAATATCTGAAACGATAAAACGACAAAATTACAAAATTAGATAGTTCCGAAATTCCATTGTTTCCAGATCTCCAAGTCCTGAAATACCCAAATTTCGCAACTGTAATAAATTTCCTTTGCCTCTACTCCTATTCAAGTGACATCTTTCCGCCTCTAACAAATATCCAATAGGTCACTGTCTTTACATAACAAAGTTGCAATACGAAATTTCTATATCTACATTTATTTCGAACAAACTACATGTTGCGGTGCACTCTTAAAATCGTAAAATTATCAAGTTTGTCTTCATTTTTTAAAATGTAGGATAAAAATGAAATTAGACACGATTGTGTTAAAAAGGAAAAGATTTAATAAAAGAATGTAGTATATAACGTAATAAGGAGTATCCGCGGGATTACCGAACGAGAGCCGATGCTACGCGATCTTTTTTATGACGCCGTCGTGGTACGCAATCCACGCTTTTCGCGCGAAGAAACAAACAAATGCCGATCGCGGTTCTCATGGTAACATGCGTGCACGCAGAACGCGCGCAGCCAAACGTACATCGGTAACGCTGCACACTGGGTGTCCAAATAATTCGGCACCACACTCGGCCATCCTGATAAACACCATCTGTCCTCAGATGTTGTCGCTGCAATCGGAGTCGTAATCTTCCAAGGCAGTATTCCAAGGTTTCATGTAATCAGCGGCAGAGGAAGTCACGTTTGGACCTTCGTGTTGTCCTATCTTCTCTACTACGTACCTGTTGTTTCGTAGCACCCTTTTAATTCGATATGGTCCCAAAAATCGTTGTAGGAATTTCGAACCAGGTGTAAACTGAGTGCGTTTTATCGCAACGAAATCGTCGACATTGTACTGCTTGGCCTCGACGCGGCGTTTGTTGAAGTTTTTCCGATTTTCTTCTTGTAATTTCAAAATTTCCTTTTTGGCGCGTTCTCGGATGTCGTCACGGTTTTCTTGGAATAGACGGATCCATTCCTTTTCAATCATTTCCCTTATCGAAGGGTCTTCCTTTAGTTTCATGTGCGTTCCGAATAATAGATTGAACGGCGTAGTACCAATGCTCCGGTGAGGGGTGGCATTTAAAAATTTCTGAGCCACATGTACATATTTATGCCATTCTTCTGAACGTGGGGCTGCCAACTTCCATCGGTAACGCTGCACACTGGGTGTCCAAATAATTCGGCACCACATAAATTAGTAAAACACACAATCCGTTGACGCACGTCCTAATGCAAGACTGAAACTGCTTTGTTCTTTTTCTTTTGTTCCCTGGGAGGGGATATCCGATCGCAGACAATTAAATAATTAAATCTTTAAAAATGTGCGAAAGTAGAATGTGCGAAAGTCGAGGGCCGCCTGTACTTGCATTTTAGGTAGGCGAATCGCGTGCTAAGCTATTATGATCGGTTGTTTTATACCACTGGACCAAAAGCAATACGAGAAGACTTCGTATACGACTTAATGACTCTGTTCATATCTCGAAAAATACATTAGTAACAACTGTTGGCCAATAACACATTTTTTAATCATAACTTTATTTAAAAGTATTAGTTTCTACATTCATTATTTGTTTTACAAAAAAGGCGACATTGTGCGACGGAAGCCACAAGAAAGAGGTTCTTTCTTCTTATCAGGATGGGATAAAAGAGGTTATGATGAAAAATATAGAGATTATATAGGGAGATAGTCACTCTTATAGATGGCTAAAGAGCAATCTCTATGATATTTAGTTTTAAATACTCGGTGGTTGATGAGAATCCTCGTGTTTGTTGACCTTTCGATTAAGATTCATGTTCTATTCTTCATCAAAGTTTTATATTCGACGTTTCATGGCTTCGAGTCACAACTCCGAATCTTCTCGACTCATTACTTTTTCTATGTTGATCGGATCTTCTTTTATTTTGCTTAATATTTGTTCAAATTAACATATTTGGGATGGCCTCTTCTTTTACCTGCTCTGATTAGTTTTGGTCTGCCACGTCCACGTTTCACGCTTATACCTTTCGGCTGAAGTGGGTCATCTTCTTCCAACAGGGGACTATCGTTTTCTTCCGTGTTGATTTCTTCAAATCGTCTTCGGCCTCTTCCATATTTAATGGCACGATTGCTTTGTGCCTCATTGTATTTTCATTTGGCTCTAGTTTTTCAATAAATTTTACATCACGCGCGTGAATTACTGTTTTCATATTTTTCTTCTATAAATCGTACGCTTTTGATATGTTGTCATAATTGACCAACACGTATTCATCTCCTTTTGACTCAAACTTGCTGCGTTTGCCTCTCTTATTTAATACATATGCATTACTTCCTACATGGTGTGTTCCGAAAGTAATGCAATTGATTTTTCTTAAGGAAATTTATTGAACCAATTTTTACAAATACTCAAAATTCTTCAAAGTACTGCCTTTGGGCTTCTACACATAGTACTGCCCTTGGGCTTCTACACATTTTTGCCAGCGGCCCTGCCATGAACGGTACGCGTCCTGGAATGCGTTTTCCGGAACCTCTTTTAGGGCCTCGGTCACGGCCGCTTGGATCTCTTGTATCGATGAAAAACGAGTTCCTTTCAAGGGTGCCTTGATCCGGGGGAACAAAAAAAAGTCTGCCGGGGCCAGGTCAGGACTATAGAGGGGTTGGGATTGAGGAAGCGTTATCATCTTCTTTTGGGTCGGAAACTCACGTACTCGCAGCGCGTTGTGGCAAGGCGCGTTGTCGAGATGCACTATTCAGGTAGCAGAGATGTGTTTTCTCGTCCTGACGATCCTTTTTCGCAGTCTTTCCAGCACAACCACGTAATAGGCGGTGTTAATTATCTGTTCTTCAGAAAGAAATTCTTTATGGACTGTTTGACGGACTGTTTTTCTGGTTGGTGGCCGCCCAGAGCGTTGATCGTTGTGAACATCTTCCCGCCTTTCCTTAAAGGCCTCGAAACTTGTGAAACTCTGTACGACAGAACAGAGTCCCCATAAGCCTCACGAATCATTTTACTTGTCTCCTCAAGAGATTTGTTTAGTTTAGCACAAAAGCTTTATCGCGTATCGTTGTTCCGATCATCGACTCCAATTTTTCCGTGACATGGTCACCAAACAGGGGGTCACAAAAATTCACGGCCTGTCCCTTTCACAGCTCGGAGAGCTTCGGGACCGGATTCGTTGGAAAGCTTAGGGTCCCCCGCATCTAATCCATGTGGTTCCATCCTCCTCCGACCAACAGGAGCGGCGCAGGAATTTCGATTGCATTACATTCGGAACACACCATGTATAATTCTTAGAAATCCAATGTAGGATTTTCCCTTCGACCACACTTCAAGTGGGGTTTATTATTCAACGCTTTCGTAGGGCATCTATTTCGGAAGTACGTTGCAGTATTTATCGCTTCGGCCGATAATAACTGTGGGAAATCAGCTTGTATCATCATACATCTGGCCATTTCTACGAGCGTACGATTTGCACGTTCGCTACTCCGTTCTGATGTGGAGTATATTCTACGCTTAGTTGGCGCTTGATACCTTCTTTCTCAAGTTACCTTGTAAATTCATTGAAAAGGTACTCCTTAGCATTGTCTGCTTTGTATAACAGTATGCAGCTGTTTAATTGAATAACCAGTCTGTTCTTCGACCTGGCGCTTATATTTCTTAAACGTATCAAAAACGACTGATTTATTTTGCGACATTATCGTTTCCGTGTATCTCGTATAGCGTGAAAGATGTTTGAATGCGAGAAGAATTGCGCGCGAATAAATGAGAGCGAATGACAACGAGCAATAGGTAAGGTATGTATGATTGGATGAGTGATGT